CTCAAGGCCCTGAGGCTGTCCCTTACGAGAGAACATAACCTGGTCAAATCTCTTTCCTGTTGCCAAGGGCAATTCCCAATATGAGACACAGCTGTGACTCAGCAGTAGCCAATATTCCCAACAGATGTGGGAATCATTGTTGGCCATAAAGAAGCTATCTGGGCAGAGCACCATATATCCACTATGTCCATTCCTTTATACCACTCAGATTGACCTGCTTGCCATAGATAGTTAAGCTTCCCCTGTCTGGGATCAGCTTCTTTCAAGATTCTGGTTGGTCTTGTTTCCTGGGAAAACTTAAAAGAGAAGGGTCAGAGAGACATACTACAGCACCTCGTGCTATAATTGATTTTGAGGCCATTAAACTCCTTGTCTTCTTCCTCCACTACCCTTTCCAGATTCCCTCACCCTCAACAAGCATGTTTGCTGATCTAGCAGTTTGCCTTTGGGGCAAGTGGATGACCCAAACCCTCATCTCACAGGATCTAATTTCCTGGTTACCATGCACTTCTCTGCATGTGATTGCTGTACTTGTTCATCTACCCTTACACCTGGGCAGGGGGCTGCCAAAAGATGTCCCAGTGAATCACCTGAGCAGCATTCATAGTCTTCCCTGCCCCCATAATGTGTACCAGTAGCCCCACCTCCTGATAACCAGGGTTAATTACACCTGCCATTTTGGCGTTATACCTCCTTTCATTGCTTGCTTGTCTCTCAGCACAAGCAGTCTGTAGTGACCAGGTGGCAGCCATAACTTGAAGTTCAATGGGGCTCTTACTATGTTCCCTCATGAACATGTTCCCTCTCTAGAAATCAGGACCTTTAGTGAGACAGACTGAGATTGTGAGGATGGAAAACACGAATTCCCACGAACAGGTACCTGGGGAGAATGGTAAGCAGGGATATTACCACTTCCACACATTGGTTCCAAGACCCATGTCTTCTACTTATTACAGACTCAGCACTATGTAAGGGGCATTAATTAAGGGTGATTTAGGATAGCATCCCATTCTGTAGAGTCTCAACTTCAAGCTGGTACCTCAGCTGTGTCTTCATAAGGTCTTTCAATGTCTTTATCACATAAATATTATTTTCATATATGAAGGAAGGATGCTGGTGCAGCGGTGGTGGATTACTTGAGCGTCTGGGCTACTTGCCTATGTAATTTGCTTCTTCAGTTTCCTGTAGTCCCAACTGCTGTCGATGAGCTTAGGGAGAGGCTTCCTAGGGTTCAGAGAAATCTGGGAATTCAGGATCTAGGGGTGAGGAGGGTGGCATCAACCCAAATGATCCCATCTCATTTGTTGAAGTTGGGTTCTTTCTCCACCATGGCCCCACTCTTGGCATATCAGACCTGTCTTGGCGGAGAGATTAACCTTCTCAAGAGGTCGGTCACTCTGATGATTAAGTCGTGGGCCTGGCCCTCAGCTTTCTCTGCCCTTCCATTGTAGATGAGCGCTGCTTGATATGCTACCGAGGAGGTCCTCTGGCTTTCACATTTGGATTTCAATTCCTGTTACTTGACCTTAGTCTTCTGTTTTCTTTTCCTATAGCTTCAATAAAACAACAACAGCAAAAACCAGTTGCCATTGAGTTGATCCCAGCTCATAGTGACCCCATGAGTGTTAGAGTAGAACCTTGCTTCATAGGGTTTTCAGTGGCTGATTTTTCAGAAGTAGATTGCCAGGCCTTTCTTCTGAGCTGCCTCTGGGTAGACTCAAACCGCCAACCTTTCAGTTAGCAGCTGAGCTCATTAACCAATAGAGCCTAGCAATAAACATCCAGTCCTTTTGCCCTTATGGTTAATTACCCTTAAGTTCATTAAGGAGACATTTTTGCCCTTTGCTTTCCTTTTTTTCTTTCCTGAAATGTTGACATGATGGCTAGCACTCTGGTAGCCACGTTGAGAGTATAAGGACAAGGTTTACATCCCTAGGATGTGGGGTGGGAGGTAGATGTGGGGAGAGGGGTGAGGAGGTGGGAAGATAGAAGAATATTAGTTCCTTGATGATACTATGGGGGTCCACACCAGTTCTGAACTGTCTTCTTTCAGACTTTTTCTACACGAGATAAAAATAATCCTCTAATTTATTTAAGCAACTGTTGCCTAGGTTTCTATTGTAGCAGCCAAACACAATTCCCAATTGATACAGAAATTATACATCTTCTTTGTATTCTTCTAATACTTACAATTAAATATTAACATATATTTTATTTCAAAATTTGCTATTAACATCTGGAGCAAACATCCGCTATCACCTCCCTCTAAATCAGGCAAGAACTTCAGCCCAATTTCCTTCCTCCTCCCGCTCCCCCCAATAACCTCCAATGTTGTTATCATCTTGAGTATTATTTCTAAGCTGATATTAAAGTTTTTACAGTCATATCTTGTTTACACTTGAGAATGAATTTTACTGGCTTCTCTACTCATCGCTGCTGCTTGTGTTATTCCCTAGATTTGTCTTTCATTGTCATGGAGTTCATTGCCCAGTCAATCTTTCTGAGAGGTAGAGCAAACTTCTGGGTCTTTGCATGTGTGAAATGATCTTTCATTTGCCCTTACACTTGAACGGCATTTTGAGTGAGTTTGTAATTCCGTGCTTAAAAAGATATCTCTTCAGAAAGTTGGGAATGCTTCTCCACTCTCTCCTTGCACCCTGCATTGCTGCTCAGAAGGCTGATGTTGTTGTGACCTTTGCTCCTTAGTAGGTAAGCTGTTGGTTTTATCTCCTCTTTCAATGTGTATGTTTTATCTTCATCAGTTATGGGATTGTACTGTGATGGGTTTGGAGATCTATCTGTTTTCCTTCACCTTTGAGGGGCAGTTGGGTATTTATAAAGCTCTGGGAAATCCTCTCTCCACAATGATTTGAGTGTTTCAGTGCTCCATCCTCTATCCTTCCTGTCTCAGGAATATGCATTCAACCAACGCTGGAACTTCTGCATCAGTGCTCTGTTTACTTTTTTACTCTTTCCACTTCTCTGCCCTTTTGTGTTGCATTTCAGGAGAATTCCTTGTGTCAAACTTCCCATCGGTAATCTGCCCTTCAGTTATGCCCATTCTGCTCTTCATCCCGTCTATTGAGTTTTGATCTTGATAATTGTGCTGTTCCTGAGATTCATTCTTACATCTTTTTAATGATGGCTTTTTCTTCCTCGCCTGTCCCTTGAATACAGTAATTAGGCTTCTTTGGCATCTCTGTTAGGGCCTTTCAGCCTTGTTCTTGGCCATCAGAGGTTCTGCTTATTTAGCTCAAGGATTCTTTATCAGTGTCTTGGTTGCATGCACTTATTCCTGAGATTTCTGCTTGGCCTGAAATGTGAGCATCTACTCTCTTTCCTGGGCTTACAGGTGGACATGTTGCTGGCTTCTGGGCATGGGGTTTCCCAGGCAGTGTGGTCTTGCGGGAGCCAGCTCCCTGGGAATTCTTGTACTAGAGCTGGTGGCCGTGAGACCTCGTGCAGACTCTCCTGCTGCAGGAGGAGCTTCTGTCCCAGCTGGAGCCTAGAGGTCATCCGGCCAAAAACCCTATGCCCGTCTCTGCACCACACAAACAATGCAGAGATGACATCCCTGTTCATCAGGTAACTGTTTTTTTTCAACTTTTTGCCATTACATAACCAGGGCTGCCTATTTTACAGCTTCTTAAATCTGTTTCCTTACCACCCACTGCCTGATCCAAAACTCAACCTAATATTTTTGTTTTTGTGGCAACAGTACCCCCATTCTGGTACCAATTTCTGTATCAGTCAGCTTTGCAGCATAACAAACTAGAATTCTCAGTGTTGTACATTAATAAGCATTTACTTTTTTGCTCACATGGCTTCTGGTCAGTTGGAGTTCAGGTGAGCTGACTAACACTAAGTGAATTTCATTAGGTTATAACAAGGCAGGGCCTGATGTGCTCAGCGTACCTCCAGGCCAGACAAAGAGGCATGTCTTCAAAGAATGTGGTTCATAATCTCATGAAAGACCCTGTCATTCGGACATGGAAGGACCAAACCAGGAAATACAGTACTCACACACTTGTGAGACAGAGAGCTGGAGCCTGTCAGGTCCAGGCAGCATCTCAGAAACTCTGTGAGCCAATACTGGCTCAGCAGGGCAGAGAGGACAGAGCAGGACTAGGGTCCAAGGCTTCTGAGTTTCTATACATGATGGGGGAATATCCCAAGTTGCAGATTCCATCTTCTCTGCCTGGACCAACCTTTTGGATGGGGTGGGCTTGGGGAGAGGATGAGGGAGACGAGGCCAATGCCAACTCAGGTCTGTGATGCTTTAGGTCCTGACACTTGCCAGAGAGTTCCAACCACCATGGGATATGCTTTCCCTCCCCACCCTAACTTCCAAGGAACCGCCCACACTGGCAAGGTCTGAGGAAGATGAGTCCCCACTCACAGCTGGAGGAAAAGGGACAGATGAGGTTTGAAGCAGGAGCAAGGACTCAAGGTTGTGCTCTGTACCAGCTCCCAACTGAGGGGTCAGATTCCAGTTTGGAGGCTGAGTATGAGGAAAGCAGCCCCCTAGATGGACAGGAAGGACATCATAGGGTTTGAGTGGGTGGACACCTCTTAAACCAGTTTCTGTGGGTACAGGTGGGAAGAGAAGCAGGGCCTGAGACACTAGACCAGATGGGCAACTGGCAGGGGTGTCACCACACCCCACCCAGGCCCCCATGCTGCACAACTCCAGGGGGCGCCATTTACGTAGCCCACCGGTGAGTGACGATCCCTGGAGTTGGTGGACATGACAGCCCTGCACTACCAACGCTTTTGCCTATGGCAGACATCACTAATCAATCATAGTTCCTGTTCATCTCGCACTCGGCTGTCAGAGTCCTTCTCCACAAGGACTCTGGGCAACCTTTGCCAATTCCTGGTAGCTGGCATGTTAGATGCCAGGCATCTGCCATTATTTTTCCTTGACCCTCGGCGGAGACAAGGACCTCCTGGAGCTTGTCAGAAAGAGATCTGGTGACACAGAGTTGGAACCGACCTGGTCATTTCTTTATTGGGAAGGGGATGCAGTCTGTAATTCGACAAGTCAATGAGCCCAAATGGATTTCAAGCTCAAGTTGCAGCTGGTTTGCTGTGAGTTCATAGTTGCCCTGGAAACAGCCACGGATATGGGAATTACGCCACCGCCAATAGGCCTGGATAATGCGAACGGCGTTGAGCAGGCGGCAGTAACGCCTGCGGACGCACAGCATGCGGAACCAGGCCTGCACACTGGTTGCTGCCCATTCTCGCCGTGCGTAGTACTCCAGCGCCTCCTGCCGCCTCTTGGTCAGTAGCCTCGCCATCGTCCGCCGCCACCAGCACTGAATGATCCAGGCCGTGAGGGCCGCGTGCAGCAGCGTTCGGCGCACCAGGGTGCCGCGCCACCAGGCCTGGATCTTTATGGCTTCAGCCTGATTGTTAGGGGGTTTCTTTTTCTTCTGAGGGGGTTGAAAGGAAAAAGAGGTGACACTCAGAAAATGTTCCCCACCCACTTCAGCCCCAGGGTGTGCCAGAAAGGAACCCTGATCTTCTATCAACAATTGCCCCTTCCTCTGAAATTCAGGAGCACTCGGCAGGGCACTGAATGGAACCAGGAGCCCAAGCCTGCCTCTACCACTCTCTGGTTAATGGGCATGGATACTTTCGCCTTGCCCAGTTTTACATGGATCAGGTTGGCCAGTCTAGAGCAAGATAACCTTGAACTATGGGTCGAAGGGTTACCATGTTCCTCCTGGGCTTGCCCACCTACCTGGGATTAATGTGCTTTCCCTTCAGACCCCACCCACCTGCTGGAGAAATGGTATCCCTTGCTCCCTCTGCCCGCTCATCCCTGACACCAGCTCAGGTCCACAACCTGCCCTTTCCCTCTGCCACATAATGATATTAAAAGTTTCCCTGCTCCATACAGCGTGGGGTCCTTCTCATCTATTTCCCACTTTCACCTTTTTTGATTTTCACATCTTAAACTTCCGTTAACACACACATACATGCACACGTGGGCAAACACACACTACCACACAGTTCGAGGCTTGGGTTGCCCTTTTCTTGGCCATGCAGTCTCCAAACACAGCCCTCGCCACCGTACTCCTCAACTTTGTGTGGTCTGGCTCCCACTTTTTAGGGTTTCTCCTCCCTACCACCAACTCTCCATGTCTCAGCACCCACATTTCTCAGACTGAGAAGGAAATGGAAGAAGAGGATACCCATGGATGAGTTGATCTCTATTCATTCCAACTCTGAATAGGAAAACCTATTGGTCTTGGTTGGCCTGGGACATTCTCAGTTTATGACTGTTGTTCCTAACAACTGATAGCACCACCTTTCACTCACCAGTGTATCTTGGTTTGGATGATAAATTCCATGATCACCCCGTGCAATGGGCCACAGACAATACAACCCAACATTGATGATGACATGGGTCATAGAGGTCACAAGTCAGGGCTCCCTCCCAACCTTGAGGGCATCCACTGACCTACCTTTGGTGGAGGGGGTGAAGGTGGGGGCTTTTCCTGTTCCTCCATCTGTTTTTGTTTCCTCAAGGTGGTTTCATTAACATCCTCAATTATGATTTCACAGAAGTTGCCATCTTTCTGTAATCAGAGTTTGGGGGGGAACGTGTGGGTGAGGTTATTCTCTGTATAAACTGGTGCCAAGTTCCCCATATGCTCAGCCTCCTGTCTTGTCCAGAGACTTTAGTTGTAGGGCCCGAATCCTGAGTTAACTGTGAAAACCCGCCCTCCCTTTCCTGCAACTTTGGGTGGACTGGCTGTCTCTTACACAAAATCGAATGCCCATGACTTGGGGATAGATAGTTCAAATCCCTTTAGGTCTGCAATCCTCAAAATTGCCCATGGTTAGGGGCAAGATGGTTCCATTGCTCTCAGGTCTGCTCTCCCTCTGCTGTGGCTCCAGCAGGAAGAGTGGAGGCGGGGAGAGAGCTGTGATGTCATAAGGGAAGGTATGACTGAGGCATCAAGATGGCTTCCAACAGTTGAAATCTTGATGACAGTGATAATACGGAAGTCTAGTCATTCTTTCCTGCCAGAAATGTCCAAAATTTGCCTACAAAGGCAGGACACTGGAAATGTGTTATATATTTTTTGGGGTAGTAAAACAAAGGAAGGCAGAATTGTAAAAACTCATCAGACTGAACACTTTAATAAAACAGTAAAGAATGAGTTTGTTTTTGATGTGCTGACATGGAAGAGAACTTGAGTTAAAGAACAACATGGCCCCTATCTAGGTACATATTTATACTAATATGTTATGAAGGCATTATTTTAATAGATGGGGGAGGGGTTAGAAAGATATAAACAAAAATTTAACAATGATTGTCTCTGATGAGGATAGTGGAATTGAGCGGACCAGGTAAACTCCCTCACTGTGGCTGAATCCCTCTATGTCTGGCCCATCTACAGGACAGCCAGTTACCAGCTTGCTGGGAGAGCAGGACACACACAGGTCAGAAAACCCCATGAGGCCCTGAGTACCCAGCCTGGGCCCCAGCTCAGGCTCAAATGACCTCAACTGCTCTCCTGTCTAACTCTGCCCCTGAGCACCTCAAGGCCACAGGCAAGAGATGGGTGAGGGGTGACCTGGAGCCAAGAAGTCAGTGCTGATCAGAAGGGTCTTTGGCCAAGGCCCAGGGGTAGGTGTGAAACCCTGGCTCCCTCAGAGTCACAGCCCTAGGGACCACTGAGAAATGAATTTGTGTACGGTGAGTAGTAGGGAGGCTGGTATGGGGTTATAGGGGGAAAGTAGAGAAGAAGAGGAGACCATTTAAGGCTGGGGGTGATAGTGGGAAGTTAATAGGAATTTGGGGGTGAGGAAGTTGGAGGTAAGCTGGAAGATGTGGGATGTGGTGGGATTCCATTGTGGGACATGGAAGGTGCGGGAAGCATCCATTTGAAGACAGATGTGTTGGCCAGGCTTCAAATGCCAGGTTTGCATCTCTGGATTTCTTTCTTGGTTCGGATTATGGCCCAGTGATTTTCTACTATTTGGTTGCTTTTAATTTCCTTTAGGTAGAAAATTTAAATATATTTTATCAGCTTTTCTAGTTATTTTCAGCAAAAGGATTAGTCCCAATTATTTAGCAGACCATTATCAGAAGTGGAAATTTCCTCCCTGTGGTATCTTTATTTATTGCTTTATTTTCAATTTCCTGTCTCCTTTTGTGAACAAAATACAAATGTGTCTTTGTTAACATAGCAAGAAAGTCTCTGTATTTTTCACAGATGAATATTACAAATTCACATAGACATTTCTAATGTGCCCAGATTTATCACTACATTGTGTCATGATTTCCATCTTTTTTGTTTGTTGTCTGTATATTTTGTTGGATTGGTAGAGTTTTTCTGGAATCTTATTCCTTTTACTATTTTGGAAGTTGAGGTAGACTGCTATCCAGTATTCATTTTCCTCATCTTCTTGACTAACAGAACGATGATTATTTGGGACGGCAATATGCCTAGATTAGGGAGAGCCTCTCTTGCAGCTAGGGGTGGTCATGTGGCACTCACTGGCCAATGAGATGTCAGCAAAAGTTACAGTATGGGTCTGCTGGGAAAAGTTTTTAAACGAGGCGGCCTCAGGCTAGGATGGCCTTCTTCTCCTTGGCCTTTATCCTTCTTCTTCTCTGAAATGTACATATAATGTCTGGTACCCTGATAGCCATATTGAGAGTATGAGGACAATGGTCCAATTCCAAGCACAAAAGAGAAGAGTGATAGAAGTGTGGTGTTTCAGTTTCCTAGGGCTGCCATTTCAAAATACCACAAAGTGGTTGGCTTTAAAGAACAGAAATGTATTGTCTCACAGTTGTGGAGGCTAGAAGTTCAAATCAGGACTTCAGCTCTAGGGGAAGGTCCTTACTTGTTGGCAGCCCCGGGCATTTCTTGGTGTTCCTTGATTTGTAGACAGTTTCTCATATGTTCCCTTCCCCTGTGTGTGTGTCTCTCTGTTTGTTTGTCTTTTTTATAAGATACCACTCAGAGGGATTAGGTTTAGGACCCTTTCTACTCTGGTATGACCTCATTAACATAACAAAAGAAAAGCTACTTCCAAACAGGGTCACATTCACAGGTACCAGGGTTAGGACTTGAATATATCTTTTTGCTGGTATCCATAACATCTGGATACCATCCAGGGACTGCCCACATCTAGGCTTTTTCTACAAGAGATTTTTTTTTTTTTAAATCTAGCCTCTTTTCTACATGAAATAAAAATAATCCTCTAATTTATTTGAGCCTCTGTTACCTAGGTTTCTCTTGTAGCAGCCAAACACAATTCCTAATTGATACAGAAGTTATTCACCTTATTTGTATTCTTCTAATACACTTAAATGTTAACATATATTTTATTTTATAATTTGCTATTAACATCTGGAGCAAATCATTATCCATCACCTCCCTCTAAATCAGCCAAGAACTTTACCCCAATTACCTTCCTCCACCCACTCACTCCCTCAACAACCTCCAACATTGTTATCATCTTGAGTATTATTTCTAAATTAATATTAGAATTTTTACAGTTATATTTTGTTTAGACTTGAGAATAAATTTTACTGGCTTCTCTACACAGGGGCTCTGAGGATGATAGTCCTGGTGATCTGCTTCCATTAAGATTACAGCCAAAAATATACAAGATGAGCTTGGAACATCCTGTCATAACAGAAAGCAAGGAAACAGAACTCAAAAACTACTAAAGTTGTGACAAAAGGACCTAGGAACTAACTTGAAGAGGCTCCCACTGGCCAAAGATTAGAGGGACAATTTGAGTATCATAAGGATAATGGTGTGGAGCCCTGGTGGCATAGCGGTTAAGAGCTTGGCTGCTAACCAAAAGGTTGGCAGTTTAAATCCACCAGCCACTCCTTGGAAACTCTATGGGGCCATTCTACTCTGTCCTACAGGGTAGCTATGAGTTGGAATGAACTCAACGGCAATAGGGGAAGGATAATCATTATCTCAGAGATACATACTGAAATATTTAAGACACAATTATAGGATGCTTGAGATTTGTTTCAAAATAATCTGGAAGGGGGAGTTATCACTGAAACAAGATTGTCCAAGAGTTAAGAAATGTTGGAAGGCAGCAAATTTTTTGTTATATATGTACTCACGACAATAAATAAATTTTTTTAAAAAAAGATTACACCAGAAAACCCTATGGAGCAGTTCTACTCTGTAACACACGGGATTGCCATGAGTTAGGACTGACTCAAAGGCAAGTAACAACAACTACTCGTGGTGGCTTCTTGTGTCATTCCCCTAGATTAGTTTTTCATTGTCATGGAGTTCATTGCCCAATACGTCTTTCTGCACAGTACAGTAAACTTTCTGGGGTCTCTGCATGCTTGAAATGGTCTTTCATTTGCTTTCATACTTGCTTAAAAAGATATCTCTTCAGAAAGTTAGGGATGCTTCTCCACTCTCTGCTTGTACCCAGTGTTGCTGCTGAGAAGGCTGATGTCAATCTGGCTTACTACACGGTGGGTAAGCTGCTGGTTAAGTATTTTATCTTTATCAGTCGAGATTGTGCTGCACCATGTTTTGGATTCCATCTGTTTTCATTCATCCTGGCATAGTTGGTTGACTGTCTTAAACTGTGGTTCTTTCTAAAGAATCTCTTCAGAAACTGTCTCATCAATGACGGGCAACTATCTTATCAATGCCTTGAATCTTCTTCTTTTTTATAATTTATTTTATTTTGTTGTTGTTGTTGAGCATATATACAGCAGAACATAAGCTAATTCAATAATGTCTACAAGTACAATTCAGTGACATTGATTATATTCTTCAAGTTGTACAACCATTCTCACCCTCCTTTTCTGAACTGTTCCTCCCCCATTAACATAAACTCACTGCGCTCTAAGTTTCCTATCTAATCTTTCAAGTTGCTGTTGTCAATATGATCCCATATAGATACTTCTTTTTTATTTTTTTAATAGTATTTTATTGAGTTTTTGGTGAAAATTTACACAGCAAGTTAGGGTCCTCTCTTAGTTAGTTAGTGCTGCTGTAACAGAAATACCACAAGTGGATGGCTTTAACAAAGAGAAATTTATTCTCTCACAGTTTAGGAGGCTACAAGTCCAAATTCAGGGTGCCAGCTCCAGGGGAAGGCTTTCTCTATTGGCTCTGGGGGAAGGTACTTGTCATCAATCTTCCGCTGATCTAGGAGCTTCTCAGCACAGGGACCCCGGGTCAAAAGACACGCTGTATTCCAGCTCTGCTTTCGTGGTGGTAGGAGGTCACTTCCCTTCTCTGCTGGATTCTCTCTTTTGTATCTCAAAAGAGACTGACTCGAGATACAACCTAATCTTGTAGATTGAGTCCTGCCTCATTAACATAACTGCCTCTAATCCTGCCTCATTAACATCATAGAGGTACAATTTATAGCACATAGGAAAATCACATCAGATCACAAAATGGTGGACAATCACACAATACTGAGAATCATGTCCTAGCCAAGTTGACACACATTTTGGGGGGACACAATTCAATCTGTAACGGGTCCCATTTGACAATTTCCACACAAATTGTTCAGTTACATTAGTTACATATATCACAATGTGTCAACATTCTCTTTAATAGCGTTCTGTTTGTTCCATTTCCAGTACTAGTTTCCCTGCCCTCTTATCTTCTCATCTTTGCTTTTGAGTAATTGTTGACCTTTTGGTCTCATACAGATGATTTTTAAGTAGATCACTGATCTTACGGGTAATATCCTTTATTTTGTGTGCCACTCTGCTATTTCACTTATAGATGATCTCAGAGGACAGGCTAGGTTCTATTTAAAGAGTGTCTCAGGGAGATAGTCTCAGGGAGTCCTCTGTTCTCTACTGTTCCAGTTTGTCTGTTTTTGTTTTGTTTTTTAAGAATTTGAGTTCTGCTGCACATTTTTCTCCCAGTCTATCTGGACCACCTATGGTGACCTCAGTCAGAATGGTCAGTGGTGGTAGCCAGGCACCATCTAGTTCTTCTGGTCTCAGGGTAGACGAGGTTGTGGCTCTTGTAGACTTGTTACTTCTCTGAGCTTTTGTTACCTTCTTACTGTTTTGCTCCTGGTGAGTAGATACCTGTAGTTGTGTCTTAGATGGCCACTTGAAAGCGTTTAAGATCCCAGACGCTACTCACTTCACTAGGTTGCAGATCATGACTTTTGAGAACTATGTTATACCAAAAGGGAAGAACATGCTCAGCGTTTCTCAAGCTGAAAGAACTGAAGAAAAAATTCAAGCCTCAAGTTACAATATTGAAGGATTCTATAGGCAAAATATTGAACTATGCAGGAAACATCTAAAGAGAATGGAAGGAATACACAAAGTCACTGTACCAAAAAGAATTGGGTGATATTCAATCATTCAGGAGGTAGCATATGATCAAGAACTGATCGTACTGAAGGAAGAAGTCTAAGCTTCACTGAACCAAAAAACACCAAACCCATTTCTGTCGAGTCGATTCCAACTCACAGCAACCCTATACGACAGAGTAGAACTGCCCCATAGAGTTTCCAAGGAGCTGCTGGTGGATTTGAACTGCCAGCCTTTTGGTTAGCACCCAGACTCTGTAACCACTGCGCCACCAGGGCTCCACTGAAGGCGTTGGAAAAAAACAAGGCTCCAGGAATTGACAGATACCAACTGAGATGTTTCAACAAATGGATGCAACACTGGAAGTGCTCACTTGTCTATGCCAAGAAATTTGCTACCTGAGCAACCCACTGGAAGAGATCCATATTTGTGCCCATTCCAAAGAAAGGTGATCCAACAGAATATGGAAATTATTGAACAATATCATTAATATCACACACAAGTATAATTTTGCTGAATATCATTTGAAAGTGGTTGCAGCAGTACATCGACCTGGAACTGCCACAAATTCAAGCCGGATTCAGAAGAAGACCTAGAAAGAAGGATATCATTGCTGAAGTCAGGTGGATTTCGGCTGAAAGCAGAGAATACTAGAAATATATATACCTGTGTTTTATTGACTGTGAGAAGGCATTCAACTGTATGGATCATAACAAGTTATGGATAACATTGCGAAGAAGGGGTATTCCAGAACACTTTATTGTGCTCATGTGGAACCTGTACATAGACTAAGAGATAGTCGTTTGAACAGAACAAGGGGATGTTGTGTGGTTTAAAATCAGGAAAGTTAAGTGTCAGGGTTGTATCCTTTCACCATACTTATTCAATCTGTATGCTGAGCAAATAATCCAAGAGGCTGGACTAAATGAAGAAGAATGGGGAATCAGGCATTAACAACCTGTCAAGAATTTCATTTTACTTGGGTCCACCATCAAAGCCCATGGAAGCAGCAGTCAAGAAATCCAACGACATATTGCAATGGGCAAATCTGCTGCAAATGATCTCTTTCAAGTGTTAAAAAGGAAAGATGTCACTTAAGGACTAGGGTGCCCCTGACCAAGCCATGGTATTTTCAGTCACCTCATATGCTTGTGAAAGCTGGACAATGAATAAAGATGACCAAAGAAGAATTAATGCCTTTGAAATATGGTGTTGGTGAAGAATATTGAATATACCACGGACTGGCAAAAGGAGAACAAATCTGTCTTGGAAGAAGTACAGCCAGAATACTCCTTAGAAACAAGGATGGTGAGATTTCGTCTCATGTATTTTGGACATGTTATCAGTCCCTGGAGAAGGAC